GAGCCCGCGGCGCGGGGAGGGCGGGCTATAAATTGAATTTATAAATAAAAATAAAACAAGTAAAAATACAGGTATATCACTTTTCAAGTAAGAAAGCGAGATGGAAAGGTGAAGGGTAGGAGGCTGGCCAGTCAAATCCAGTAATTCATGAAGATTTCCCCAGACGTGGTCCCTGGAAGAAGCCGTTCTCCTTCTAGACAGAAGGGTGCCCCTTTCCCTAAACTTCTGATTCCAAAGGAAGTAAATGGAAGAGGAGGAGGAGGAGGAGGAGATTGGATTTATACCCCGCCCTTCACTTGGAGTCTCAGAGCGGCTTACAAACTCCTTTCCCTTCCCCTCCCCACAACAGACACCCTGTGAGATGGGTGGGGCTGAGAGAACTCTTGACACAAACTGCTCTTTTTCAAGGACAGCTGTGCCAGAGCTTGTGACTGACCCAAGGTCACATCAGCAGGTGCAAGTGGAGGAGTGGGGAATCAAACCCGGTTCTCCCAGATTAGAGTCTGCGCACTTAACCACTACACCAAACTGGCTCTCTGTGAGAGACCCTGTGAGGTGGAATTTCATGGAGTTGCTATGACTTGGTTGTGACTCAGTGGCACACGTTAAATTTTAAAGGCCTTTATGCATGATTCCGTGCGCCTTGGTGTTTAGTCATGCCGGCCACATGACCACGGAAACATCTTCGGACAACGCTGGCTCTTCGGCTTTGAAACGGAGATGAGCACCGCAACCCTAGAGTCGGATTCGACTGGCCTTCGAGCAAGGGAACCTTTACCTTTATGCATGATTCAGAACCTCTAGCTGTACATCATACATGCTTTCCCCCTTATATTGTGATGCAGGCTTAATGGGAGTAATTGTGAAATTAAGGAATTTTTGTCTTATCTACACTGCTCCTACACTGAGATCACTTCCCTGAAAATCAGGCTCACAACCATGCTGGATTGTGGATTCGATGTCTAGAACTTTCCAGAAGCAAGGCTGGTGAAATTGTTGAGTAAAATGTGGTTTTTCCATGAGGCGGAAAGGAAATATTTATGTTCTTTCGGGACATCATCAATACTCATATTTTGTTGCCGTCTCAAACATGGTGTGTGACCTTTAGCATCTTGTTTACAGTCTTGACCACAAGTCAAATATTTCCCCCCAGGTTTTTCTTTTATTTAGGAAAGAGGATTCAGTGGGTTTTTTTTAAAGGTCATGAACTCAGTTTTGAGCGAAGGAAGCTGTCTCGACAGCTCTTGGCCATCACATAGTTAATTCTCAACTTGGCCCCAATCCATGGGTGAAAAATTCCCCTCAATTGAGGAAGTGATATTTATGCTTGCAGAGACGCTACAAGTCTGAGGCTGAATGAGACCCTGCAACATTATGTGGCCACAGTTCCGTGGCAACCTGGCCAGAGGTAATGTAGAGCAGTGTTTCCCAGCCTGTGGGTCGGGATCCAAAAGTCGTGAAGTCTCTGCTAGTGGGTTGCGGGCCAGCCTTCCCTCGTGCCCCCCCCCCATTGCTCTCTTTTGTATCTTGGAAACCAAGATCTGACCCTGGAAACAGTATCTTCCACACACCCCCCCCGCACATATACATGTTGATAAAGTAAAATGTGTCCTGATGATGACTCACCCCATGAGTGAGAATTTAAGGGGGGATTGGAGAGGGTAATGGAGAAGGAGAGGGTGGTCAAAGTTTGGGATGTATCCTCTAGATCCAAAGGCTGTGTACGTCAGGATGCCACTTGCTTCGGGGTTCATAGTGGGGGCAGGTGCACTCTTTGTGCAATGCTTGTTGGTTTCTCAAAAAGCATCTGGTTAGCCGCTGTAGAAAATGGAATGCTGCGTTAGATGGGTGCTAAGGTGCTAAGGTCATAGCGGGAATTAAGATTGCTGGGGAAAAGATCAACAACCTCAGATATGCAGACGATACCACTCTAATGGCAGAAAGTGAAGAGGACCTAAAGAGCCTCTTGCTCAACCCTCTCTCCATTTTGGCACATACCCTTTCCATTCCAGGGGAGGTTACTGTGGCCCCCTGATGTTATTTGCCACTTACCCTCCGGCGGTGCTGTAAAGCCGGTCCCCGTTGGTGGTAGTGGTAGCGGCGGCGGCTCCTATTCGAAAGCCTGGCGGAAGAGCTCCGTCTTGCAGGCCCTGTGGAACTGCAACAGGTCCCGCAGGGCCCTGATCTCCTCCGGGAGCTCATTCCACCAGATAGGAGCCGCCACCGAGAAGGACCTAGCCCTAGTGGCCGCAAGCCTGGCCTCTTTCAGGCCCGGGGTCGCAAGACGATGCTGCGACCCCGACCGAAGTGCTCTTTGGGGCCTATGTGGGGAAAGGCGGTCCCTCAGGTATGCTGGACCCTGGAAACAGTATCTTCCACCCCACCCCCCTGTAGAAAATGGAATGCTGAATTAGATGGGTGCTAAGGTCATGGCTTGCCTGCGGTGCCAGAAAAACCTTGGGCCAGCCCTGGATAGGTCACCATATCAACTACATTTGGACTTGTGGGTCGCCATACTGAAAAGGCTGGGAGGACCGCTGGTGTAGAGCGCAACTTATATCTGTGAACTCTTTGCTCCAAGCTGCCCCCCCATCAGCTGGCTGGATGGCAGGGTCATATGTCTGACTGCAGTGGGGCTGGGTGCTTGGAGCATGTCTTGCGTACTTTCTTCTCCAAGCTTTCTCTCCCTGCCTGGTCCTTTCCATCACCTGGCCAGTGGTGGGGAAGGCTTTGGTGTGGAGAACTGCCGTGTACACTTTCCACCTCAAACCACTACTTACCAAAGTGTGGCACCAGAGACCAGTGTGGGAGGGGAAAGCGTGATGTCCCATGCTAGGGAGTGCATAGAA